ATGGTTTCGCTCCCGCTGCAGCTGGTGGTGCTCGGCGCGGTGCTCGGCGCGGCGCTGGCGGCCGCAGCCCTCATCCTGGTGAGAAGAGGGGTTGGGGACCGCCGCGGGCCTGGGCTCACTGCTGTCCTGGAGACAAGGCCCCTGGCGTGCTATCTTCCGCGCTGCGGGTTCTTGGACGTGTCCCTTTTCATCATACTGACCCCACCCCTTGGCCCCAGAATTCCTCTCCTGCAATTTCGAACCCCCATTCTTCCGCTGTTGATTTTTATTTTGGAGTTTTATCTCCCTACATACCAAGAGCCTTGTACCTTTATCCACTCTGGGACGTGGCCATCCAGTCTTAACTCGCCGCCTTGTCCCTGGACCCTCTGCCCATCCCGACCTCTCCAAGACTTCCTCCCGGGTCTGCAGCCTCTGCAGTTCTGGCCCCGCTGGGGAAGTCTTGAGCTCCCAGAAGGTGAGTGTACTCTCAAGACTCCCCTTTACAGATGTGGTTAAGCAAATAGCGGCGACAGAGCACCGACAGGAGCCATCATCTATTACAGATTGGAATAAATCGGTGGATCGAGAAGACCCACTAGGGACACAGGAAGACCAAGATAGGCAAAGCTTGGTGTTACCATATATCTGAGGGTCGTTATGTCCCCCTAAATTTGCTGCCTTTAAATGAGGCGGTATAATAGAATTCAAACTCGGATTTTCTTTGCCATTATTCTAGAAACAAACATTGTAAACACTTGCTGATCCATGAGTAGTAGAAAGTCGGCCAAGTAAACTTTCTCTCATGTAATTTGGAATGAGCCTGTCTATCCTCTGATTAGTAAATAGAAATGTTTAGGCTTCCTTGACATTCAGCTTAGCAACCAGGAAGGCCACTCTGCCATTGCCAGAAAATTTGTAAACTCAGCTTAGAAACAGTTTAGATTTTTAAAAAAAGCATTGTATCCTGATTTCTTTGCTGATTTGTGTCTGGGTGATAGAGTAGTTGTTGTTTTCAGGTTGTTGAACAAGTCAGGTTTTTGGCAGGGCAGAGTTTGGCAGAATCCTAGATTGAATCTGCCTTGTGTTGAATTTGCCGCATAGATTTGCTTGTGTACCTTAGGAGTTCGCACTGGAAGTGTTTGTGATCCCACTGGCTTGAAGTGATGGTAAGAGCTACCATTTATCGAGTACTTAGAGTATGTTGGGTGTTATACTCAGAGTTTAACAGAATTATCACTTTTGATCTTTAAAACAATACTCACATAAATGTTATAATTAGTAGTCTAATTTGGTGAGGAAACAGGTTGGAGAGACGGTGAGCTCATATACACAGTCGTGGAACACACTCGTGGAACTTCATTTTTTTAAATGCTGGAGCAGGAAATCATTACCAAAAAACTAATCTTATTATACATATGTATCCACACCCCAGTTCCTTTTTTGGATTATTTTGAAGCAAATCCAAGACATAACATTTTATCTGTAAAGCCTCAGCATTTACCTCTAAAGAGAATCTCCCCCCCCCCCATTAAAATATAATGGCAATAGAGTTGTTGCAGATTTTTATTTTGAAAGTTAACCATTATTCCGTAGTTTTAAATACCTCAACTTCCCAGTGCCTCATGTATGTCTAGTGTAGTCAGTTTGTTCCAGTCCCATTCACACACACTTAGCACTTCATTGATATGTCTCAAGTCTTCATCTATAACAATTTCTCATCCCTTTTTCCTTTATCTTTAATAAGTGGTCATTTGTCTTGTAGACTTTCTCACAATCTGTATTTTACTGATTGCATTCCCTTCGTGCCTTTTAACATCTTACTCTGCCTCTTGAATTTCCTGTAGAGTAGTAGTAGTTACATCTAGAGACTTGAAATGCATATTTGAGTTTTTTAATCAATAAAAGTGTGTGAACGATGCTGAATACTTTTTCTTATCACATCAGCCTGCATATAATGTGTGATTTCTCTGGTATTAAGATGGATCCACGGGTTCGGGAATTGTTGGTATAAGGCACCTGTTATAAAGTTTGTCATTCACCTAATGGTTTTAGCAGTCATTGATCATCAATACCTAAATCCATTTCACTGGGAGTTGCAAAGTGGAATATTCTAATTGTATCATTCCTTCTTCATGTATTGCCAAGAAGCTTATAATGGAAAAGAATGTAATCCTTAGCTATTAGCTATCCAGTTAACCTAAAATACCTTTCATATCTAAAAGGTAAAATAAAAAGCAAGTTTTCAAAATAATGAGCTAGTTCCCTGGCATCTTACAAAGGTGACCAATTTTTAAATTTTTGGTATCATGAATCCATGATTTAAAACACTTTGTATGTGTTTTAATGGATTGCAGTAATTTGATGCTCAAATCGTGCCATCATAAGCCATTGGGAGCCCCTCACGTTGGCTACTGTGTCCTTCTGGCTTGGCCCTCTTTGTCATTGATGTGCTGTTCCACCATCGTCCATTTCCTGCCCTAGACCTGAATTAGCCATTCTTCCTTGGAGCACTGGTCGCTTTTAGTGGGATGTGGGGTTTAGAAACCACAGTCTGGACACAGAGGATGCAGAGCAGGAACCCTGACTCACTAGTCTGGATATTGCCTCCGTGCTCGCCAGTCAGAAGCATGTACAATTTCAGTATTTACCCAATGGAACATTAAAAATGGTTGTTACAAATGAGTAACATTCCAAAAATTTGTAGATTGATTGTTTTGAAAGCAGAAGGTGTGCCAGTAGAAAGTGTTTCGAAGAATAGTTATTTCCAAAGCTACGTATATGGAAGGGAGCTGTATAATATTAGTAGTGCATGGTGCCTACAGCTTACAAGTTTGATACTTTACTGCAGAAAATATTGTGTTTTGAGTTCAAATCTGAGATGAGTACCAAGAATATATTCTTAAGCATTACCGGTCTCCACTATAAGGATTGGGGGAGTCTTCTCTTCATACCCTGGGTCAATCTGGTCCTGGATGGGAAGGTCTGCTCTCATCCCACACGTTCCGCCTGCTATATGAACTTGTCCTCTGTCGCATAAATGCTCCAAGCAGGGATGGGATCTCACTGTGCACCAGGGGTTGGGGGTTCAGCACATCTACGAGCGGGTTGTCCTTCTGTAACCTATTTACTCTTAGATCCGGGATGACAGAGGCCTGGGGAATGACAAGTGGGAAGAGACAAAGAGCCTCTTAAGGCATTAGTGATGGAGAAAAAGACAATCATTGTTCTTAAGACTGGTTTGAATTTTGGAGTCACTTCCAGACCATTGCTAATGGACTAAAAACTGAGAATAAATATTCTGCCAAATGAAAAAAAAATTGTGTAAATGATGTAGCATTCTAACATAACAAATGTAAAAATGGCCAACCTCACATAATTTCTTTTTAACATCTGCTTTTAGGTTTCCTTTGTTGCATTTATAACTGCTATGGAATTGCCAGTCCTTCATCAACATGAAGAAGAGAAGTTCTTCTTAAATGCCAGAGGCCAGAAGGAGACCCTCCCAAGCATAAGGGACTCACCCACCAAACAGCTTTCTGTTGTTGTGCCTTCATACAATGAAGAAAAGCGCTGTAAGCCCTATTTGACTTTTTGGCAAAGAGTAATTTGGGAAGAGAAGGAAACTTAAAGTATTGGATTGTACTGTCTTTGCCAGAGCGTTAGTAGATGTGGGCTGTGGTAAGTACATAGTCGGCGGTTGCAGTTCAGAAGCGGAGAAATGAACATTAGCTGCGAGGCTGTAAGCAGCATCATGAGGTACTGAGACCGAAGTGTTCTGGACAAGTAATGAGCAAGGTGTGAACAGAAGACAGAGGTTCCAGATGGGAATGGCCAGTGGGGAAAAGTCCCAGAGGGACTTCTTAGATATCCAGATTTTTTCCATATGTAAACTGAGTGTGCTAGGGTTTGATAAACCATTTTCAAAAGCAATTTTTAGTATATTTTCTTTTCCTTTTAGTGCCTGTAATGATGGATGAAGCTCTGGGCTATCTAGAAGAGAGACAGGTATCATGTTTTTTTTTTTTTTCACTATGATGTCACCAATTAAAACTAGACCAGGTCACTGACTAGTGGACCGCAGGCTAGATCCACTGTGAGGAACAGTGTCGGCTATGCTTGGGCTGTCGTGGTCACTGGGCCTTCCCATGCTGAGCTTGCTGCCAGGCAAGCCCAGAATGTAGCATGCTACATCCAGAGGCAGGTAGGTGGCCTCAGAGCATACTGAAAAGCTGAAATTTCTCTTACATACCCTTCTACCCATTTTTTATTTTCTCTTGCCTAATGCTATACCTAAAATTGAGTGATAGAGTATTTGCAGACTTTGTGTGACAGCACGATGCTGTTTTTACTCTCATGACTTTTTAAGAGAGATGTTATTTGAAGACTTATAATTAGGGTGAAATTATTTTGTATCTTTATTATTCTGAAGAGTGCCCCTTCATTTATTTTCCTCTTCTTTCCCTGCATAAAGAGGAGAAAGGTAATATGTGCCCCTCTCTTGAAGCATTAGCTGCTGTTGGAATCTCTATGAAGAGTGAGAAAACAAGTAAGATTTGAGGCTGGTTCTATTTTAAGAAAATTCCTTGTTTTGATTTACTTTGATTTTATAGATTCATCAAAAGAGGGGGGTTCATCTTATTCAAAAATTGAATTTAAAGAGGGAAAGTATTAAGCCCTTATTAAATATAAGGCATCTACCTCTTCTATTACATGTAATCTTCATACCAGCCACATAGACCAGGATTTTTTGTTTTTTTAGTGAAAAAACAGACCAAAAATGTTGACTTGCCCAAGCTCATAATGCTACGATGTGGTTGGTGTATCCAGGTTGGAATCCATACTCTCTGACCTCAGACCTCGCAGGCTTTCTTCTCACACACCTGGCAGCCTCTCAGTGCTCAGCACCACAGGAACCTGGCGCCTTCCCGGATGTGGTGCAGGGTAGGCGAGGAGAGAGTGGGGTGCTCACAGGTTCAGCTGGTATCTGCCCTCGACTCCTACTCAAGGTCTCCTCCTGTTTGTTCTTGACCTTTCTATTTCATGTGGTTTGTGTGCACTTCTTTATATTTATATACATCAACACTAAAACAATTATTTTTTAAATTCCTTTTTGTTAGAATTCTTCGTGACAGTTATGCCAAACCGTGGTGTTTTATTTTTGCTTCTTGCAGAAACAAGACCCTACATTCACTTATGAGGTGATAGTAGTTGATGATGGCAGCAAAGACCAGACTTCGAAGGTAAGTAAACTTGATTTTAGAATTGCCTGTATGTAGAAACTAGAGAATAATTTAGCAAATGTGAAATCTTATTTCCACTCATCAGAGAACCCTAAAGCTTTGCTAAATACTCTCCATTGTTATAGTGAGGGTAGTAAAAGAGGCAGAAAGGGTTCATTTATGGAAAGCTGGAAAACATAGCTGCTGTTCCACTGTCCCGTACGACCGGGGAGGCTTTGAATGTCACCAGGTCACGAGAGAACACAGACAACAACAGTTCGCCTTGGCCACTGGGAAACCCTCCTTTTCTGTCAGTTTATCGTTCCTTTTTCCCTAAAGCATGATTCTGTGCTTTATGCTACACCTAGCGTGACAGTTCATAATGCAGGTAGGAAGATGCCTTCATACCGCCATGGGGTAGCAGGTACGTCCTTCAGCCTATCCCCTTCTAGATTTACCCACAGGAGGTAACGGCGCCCTCTCATCCCTTCATGATGAGACCTGTGGCTGCTGGGTCCAGGTGCACTGCTTCTTGCAGTAGTACATCTATTAAATCTTACCAGTGATCCAGATAAATTATTCTCCAAACATCTAAACGTTTTAATTTTAAGGATGCTTCACGTATTTTTTTTTTATATTTATATTTCTATAGTAAAAGATTTGTTTAAGGTGCTATTAATATTCTCGTTAAATAGCAATATAATGGACTTTAAATAAATAAATTCATGGGGAAACATCTATTTACTTGGTTATTCATCATTAATGGTTTTTGTTAAATACTAACTACGCTTGAAGTGCTAGACACCGAACGAACCATACAAATACATGAGCTTGCTCCTTTGTGTAAGAAGCATCCAGGGCAGTCCTGCAACATGTCTACAAATTCTGTAATGCAGGTGAAAAGCGGGGCTGAAAATAAAATGCTGTAAAGAATTTGAGAGAAAGAGACGTGACTTTTGAACTAAACCTTTACAGATATGACTAAGAACATGGAGGATAGTATATTCAGATTGGAAAAAAAAATGTGTAAATAAAGGCACTGAGGCCAGAAAGTATTGTGGGATCTGTTTTAGGAAGAGTGCTGCACTTTGAATAGTGACTATGACATGAAAAATGTGAACACAAACTATTCCGGCAATTTATTAGCATATGGAGGGAGGGACATAGAGAATCAACTTTGGGTACTTGCTGCTGAGATTACAGAAGCAGCATTAGCCCAGCTGAGGAAAAGAAGCTTTTTAGTTCTCACACGCTTCCCCATCGCAAAACTGCCACAGCTCCAAGTATCACGTGTCCTGAAGCAGTAAGAAACAGCTAGGATATTGAGAATTATCTTTGAGTGTGTTCTTTCCTTTTTCAACTGAGAATGAATAATCTTTGCCAGAAGCCTTACCCTCCAGCAGACCTCACGAGCCAGAACTTGGTGATGTGACCACCCATGCCTTCTTCAAGGGGAGCTGGGAAAGTACTTGGCAAAGAGGATTTCTACCGATCAGGATTAATCTCCTAGGGCTGTACACACTGTCGCTGTGCAAGAGTGGAGCCATAATAGCAAGGAGGAAGGAGGTGTTTGTTGCGTGGACAGCTGATAGTGCTGTAGTAGGAGTATGTGCAGGAGACTGTGGCTGCCTTTGTTTATTACAATTAATCAATTCTAGACTATATGTCAGGCACTAGAAATAGAAATTTTTGCCTTTAAGAAGCTCACTGCCTAGTGAGGAAGGTCTATAGTTACATTATGTGATGATATAACAATTAAATGGGAAAATGCCTCAGGAGAACATATTAGAATTGTACTTTCCTTTTTCCTGGAGGAAGGTGAGGGTGGGCATGGAAGCTAGGAAAAAGACACATGTTTGATCTGCATCTTAAACTGGCTGGACAAGAGGGCAAACACCTGAGAATAACTTCACAACTGACTTTGGAAGTGAGTGCCAAGAGGACAGGGTGCCACTGGGGAGAAACAAGGCGATCTGGAAAAGGAGAGGGCGTGAGCCATGCTACAGCGGCTTGAAGAAGACTGAATAAGTGATGAAGAGATGCAGATAGCAATATAGGTCACTATTTCATGACTTTGATTATAAATCAAAGAATAATGGCAATTGTTTAAGCTTATAGTAAAGCCCAAAGAAATATTTTGGTATGCTGGAGTCTTGAATACTTTTGAGGCCATTGAGCCAGTAGAGTTGAAGAGATTGAAGATTCAGGAGAGGACAGGCCACAATGCGGACATCTGCTGAGAAAGGAATTCAAGTGAGATTTGAGGGAAATGGTCCAGGATGCAAACAGCCTCTCGGGAATAAGATCTGTTGCCAACAAGTAAACAAGTTGTTAAGCAGTATCAGAGGCCCCGGTCACAAGTGTGTACTAGTCAGTTAGCAAACAGATTTTATTTTTTCTGGCAGCTCAGTAGCTTAGGCAGAGGAGTCGAAAGAATGGGGGCCGGCCTCTGCCTCTTCTGGTGGTTCCGCTGTAGAAAAGTGAATTCTGACTTCAGCCTAGTAGGTTAGTGTCGGTTATTGGCACCAGGAAATCAGCAACTCCTCTGGGCCACCAAAATGCACAGTGGGTATGATCAAGTCACAGTAAGACGGAAACTGGAATAGCAAGTAGTGTTTAAGCCAGAATGAGAAACCCAGTTTATATTACTATCTTGGAATTCAAGTTAATTTTCTCTCACTTTTGTGTAATTTGACAGGTAGCTTTTAAATATTGCCAGAAATATGGAAGTGACAAAGTACGAGTGATAACGCTGGTGAAGAATCGTGGGAAAGGCGGAGCTGTTAAGATGGTAATACATAGTTTCAACATTTTTATCTAAAATATAGAGAGATTTTGAACAACCTCTTTTGCAGACTATAGTACGTGTGTATTCTATAGTTGTATAGTTGAATATAAGTATTTCAAGTTAGTGGAAAATTACTTTTAATAATAACTTTATACGTATGTAAATATTTGGTCAAATCTGAAAATATCATGCCATATCTATAACATACTAGGTGATTTGGAGAAATACGTGTATCTTAATCAAAGTTTAAAATGTTACTGGTTACATTCTGTGTGTCTTTGATAGAGTCACTGGATAAAATTATGTGCTTTTTTTTTTTTCAATTTACCAAATGCATTTGTGTATTAAATTTTACCTATATGAAGGCACTATGCTGAGTATTATAGCACAAACTAAGAACAATCTGATGTGGGTCTATCCTGTTGAAATTTACAGTCTAATAGAAAAGGTGATTATACTTAGGCGAAGGGCTATAGAAATTCCAAGAAAGAAGCAGTTACTTTCAGTTGAGGCATATTAGGTAGGAATCAAGATACACTAACAAAAAGACCAAAAGTCAAGATATATGAAAGAAAATCCAAATCATACCCTAAATGACTTAGAGTTTTATATATTTATTTTGTACCCCCTGCCCCATAAAAGAAGTCTAATGATATAGACAATCCAGGACTTGTTCAGCAACTCCATGGTATCATCAGAAACCCAGCTCCTACCTTTTCACTCCCTTTTCTTCATGTACACAAGGTGACTCCTGGAGAACCAACTAGCACATCCACAAGAAGACAAGAAGAAGGGCAGAGGGCAGAAGAGGCATGCCAGCTGGTTCGCCCCTTTTTAAGGAGTTTTCTCAGAAGCTCCACCCAGTGACTTGACTTACTGAAATCTCACTGGCCATAACAGTGTCACGAGCACTCCTGTTTCCAAGGGAGGTTAAAAAATGTTCTAACATATTTATTCCTGACTAAATCAGGGTTCTATTAGTGACAAAGAAGGAAAGAATAGGTATTGGGATAGGTAACTCGTAGTCTCAGGCACATGAGAAAAATAGCAGACTTCACAAAGATGGCATTGCTGAGGCCAGGCCTCCACTGTTGGTGAATGCTGCCTGCCACATGTTTACTGGTTACTTTCAGCTGGACAGTAAATTAATCACTTCAACATAATTATCTCATTTAATCCTCCTCATGTTGTCTCATGAGTTAGGTCCTATTATTTTGATTATCTAGATGAGGCAATTGAGGCATCAATAGGTAGCATAACTTACTCAAGGTCACATAGATATTAAGTCAAGATTTGGATTAGGTCAGTTTAACCCTGAACTCCACGTTCTTTCCCTCTCTCATATTGTATGGAGAAAGGGTTGAGAGAAGAGCATGCTGGTCAGCAAAGCAAGGAAGGACAGAAGTAGGAACTCTTGTATTAGAAACAGTGAATTTGCTCTGACTAGATCGCAGAGTAAGAAAGAGAAAAAAATAGGATTGATGCAATATCATCGTGAGCTTTATTTTTATTTTTATTATTATTATTATTATTTTTAATGCCTACAGCACCTGGTCTTCCTGGGTGGTCTCCTATCTAAGTACTAACCAGGCCCGACCCTGCTTAGCTTCTGAAATCAGACGGAATCGGGCTTGTTCAGGGTGGCATGGCCGTAGACTCGTGAGCTTTAAATACATTCATTCGCTTATTATTCAGCCAATGTTGGAGTTTCTGCTATATGTTAGGTACTTCATTAGAGATACGGAGTTGAAAGAGACCTATCTCATCCTTGAGGATGTAACAGTTAACTATCGTTATAAATGCTATAATAGAAGTGTAAGCAGAACGTTGGCACCACCTCCTGCCTGGGAATTGCAGCAAAGGTTTCCCACGGGAGGTAAATTCTGAATGAAGTCTTCAAGGAGGATTAGCAATTATCCAGGCAAAAGCTGGGACAGGGAACTTGCAGAGAAGGGATGTGACCAAAGCCACAGTAAAGGAACTCTGAGTGGTACTAGTGACTTGACTTTATGGATAAGGCCAGAGGGTAGGTGGATTCAGATGATGAACTTTAGGCTAGGGACTTTTGGACCTTAATCATGGTCAGAGCAACACCAGCCAGTATAGTAGTTTAGGCAAGATATAATGAATATTATTTGGATTATAATAGTGACACACAGAAGAAAGATAAATTTAAGAGGTATTTAGAATGAGACAAAATTGGATCAGGTGATGAGGGAGAGGAATTAGTTATCAATGGCCTTGTGTAACACTGGAGGAGCTGGTTTAGCAGACAGTATGTTGAGTTGAGTTGGAGCCATATTAAATTCGAGGTACAAGATAGTGGTATCCAGAATCGCCTTGGAGAAAGGAGGTGAGTGAGTCATCCACATACATCAGATGATAGTTGAAGCCATTAAGTTGGCAAGGAAGAGGGAATAAAAAAGGGCCAGGAACCAAACCTTGGGGAAATGAGGCACACGAGGAGGAAGAAATATCCTTCGGTCAGAGGGGATGAGGTATGACTGAATGGCAGTAAAATGGAGGTCATCGATGATTGATGGTAGAATGGGGAAGTGGCAGGCATTAAAGAACCCCTCTTTTAAAAAATAGATGAGGCTATTTAAACAATTTGGAGGGCCAAGGGCAGTTTTTCATTAATGTTAAATAATAATCTCTATTTTACCTTTATCACGTGTCACATATCCTTTTTTTCTTTTTTTCATTTCAGACCCTAGTGACAGATTTTGTACCTTGTAATGTTTTCGCTTTTCTAAAACTTCATGTATGGTGTTCAGGTGTTAAATATAAAATTTTTATTTCATTTTTTAAATCATTCTAATGGGTATGATAAACATCACAGCTACTAATTAGTGGACCTATACCGTAGAATAAATGATCAAATTTCTAAGGTATATACATTTGTATATATCTTATCTATATTCACACTCAAGTGATATCAAAGCTATATTTCACCTAATGAAACCATAAATGTTTACACTTAAGAAACCATGAATTCACTTAAATGAGTCATGAAAATTAAGAGTTGATATGTAGTTTATTTCTATTTGAAATATACACTCATAGAGCCATATTTTGCCCAAAAGACCAATCAGTTCAAATTTGAGTGGTGTAATTTTGCTAAGTATCAGATCCCTCAAATAACATAAAATAGTATTTGGATATATCCATACTTCCCAGATTTTAGTGACAGCCCATATTTCTTTATTCAACAGTTAATTTAAAATACTTTAGATTTCAAATAAAGAACACGAAATCATCTATCATGATGCATTTCACAGCAAATTTATATGTATTTGTGCCACTTATTCATAAATACACTCTTCATGTGCTGTCCTAAGTGGCCTTGGTGCCATTTAAGCGCCGTGATATGTGCATGCTACACATATGCGTGTGTGTACTGCGTATGTACTGTGAATGACAGGTATTTTACTTTTTTAATTTGCCTAAATCTGTTTTCTTATCTTGATATTTTCTAAGATACTAGTAGTATGACCCCCCAAAGTTTTTAAAATTGTGAACTAGGCATTAGCTACATTTAAGACGATCTTATTAATGTAATTTGTTTTCAATGAACTTTGGCCTTCTTCTGCCATTTTATACCAAATATTTCACTCTTAGATATTTTAAGTAAAGCAGAACAGACTGATATGTTATTGAATTTAACCTTATTTTAAGGCAACTTTCTTTTAATTGTAATTTTTAAATGCAGGGCGTATTCAGTTCTCGAGGAGAAAATATCCTCATGGCAGATGCTGATGGAGCCACAAAGTTTCGCGATATTGAGAAATTAGAAAAAGGACTAAATGATCTACAGCCTTGGCCTGTGAGTATAGAGAATAATAGAAATGGTATTCAGTCACGAATACAGAGGTTCTAAAGTAAAATGAAAATAGAGCTTATTTAAAAATTTAAAAACTAAGGGGTTTGGGGATGTGAAATTTTTGTATACAGAAGAGCTAATCATTTTATTATAAACATTCACTGATTTTCTGAGGTTTACTTGACAGTACTTATGGAATCTGGGCATCTCTCGATTTTTAATCGCTTAACTTATATTTTATCATCCATATGCAGCTAAAGCTTATTTAGAAGCATAGACTGAGACTCACATCTTTATGTGAAATGAAACTGTATCACAGCATCTTGTTTTTTGATGAAACAAACAAACAAGTAGCAACTACTCAAGAAAGATTATGTATAACTTCATGCCATAGCTTCAAAACGTAAAGTTTGACTTTGACTCAGCATAATGCACTTGAGATTCATTGATATTGCTGTATATATCAATAATTTGATTCTTTTAACTGCTAAATAGTATTCCATTGTATGGGCATATGTCGGAAGCCAGCCGACCAAGTCAAACCGGGTACCTGAATGGGGGAGCGGGGACTGAGAAAAAAGAGAAGACAGGGTGCAGGAGGGAGAGCAGATCTCACACTGCCTCTCCGAGTTTATTTCTTCTCCTCCTTTTAAACACAATCTGTTCCTCTGTGTATCCCAAAACAACACAAAAGTAACATCCTGAAGATGGAGGTGCAATTGACACTTCAGTTAACACTCCCTTCGACACTCCCTTAGGCTATACTTAATCTTCTTCTTCCTGGAATTCCACAGAACCAGCCTTTTCTTTTTTATGCAAGCAGGCCTCCCGAGACAATCCATGCACTCTTTTGAATTTGGGGAGCTTTAGCTCCCTACAGGCATACCACAGCTTGTTTAATTATTCAATTGTCGAAGGACATTTGGGCTGTTTCTATCATTTGGCAATTACAAATAAAGCCAGTATCAACATTCATGGTTTTTTTTTAAAAAGTGGAGGGCGAAGAAAGAAAATCCTGGTGTCATTCCCACCTTTTAAAAGCCATTTAGAAAAAAGATGAATTTACCAAATTCTGAGTACCAAATACTCCCAATCTGGAAAGAATCAGACTGAGAATGACTAAGCTCCTTTGGACAACATCAAACAATACACCTGCCTACCATCACGCAACGTCACAGGATTTCAGCAGAAGCAAGACAAATTGCTAGACCTTGTTGTTTTCAGGGCTTCAAGCTAAGTTTGGATCATAGGCCCATGTGATTCATTCCTCAGTGGAGTACACCCTTGACCCTTGCACAGGACACAAATCTCACAGCAGCAATGAACCCAAGTAACCTACAAAACTACATAGAGTTCTAGGGGTGTTTACACCTCCCTACCCCGCTCCAGAACAATACATGGACCTTGAAACTCTAGGTCAAAGGGGAAAAAAAAGTAGGAGTATGTCAAGGAGAATTCACCTATACTGTATGAGAGCTAGCCATGTTAATCTCGGCAGCTACGCCAACACATTACTACAAAAAAGAATTAAGGTTTTATTCAAAAATAAAAAATAAACCCTATCTGAAATGTAATCTAAGAAAAAGGATAAAATACATAAGCATTTTTGCTAAAGAAATAACATTTAAAAACAATAATTCAGCAACACAAACGTGAAGTTGAGGTGACAAAACAATAAAAAATGATTTTAAAAGAAAAATTGCAGAACTAAGAAAACAAATTGAGGCCAAATTAACATCAGGCCAGTACAACTATCCATGAATGAAATAGACCTAATTTAGCTATTATTATTATTAAATATTGGTTAAAAATACCCCTATTCGTTATAGCAAAAACTAAACAATAAAAAAATAAAACACGTATAAAACCCATTAAAGCAAAACCCCCAAAACAAAATTAATAATTACAAAAACTCACCTTATATCCTTCTCTCTAGACATAATTATCTATTTATTTAATTTCATGGTTTGTGAAGTATTCTGTTTCTCCCTCCACTGTCACCCGCTCCCCCTTTCTTCCCAGCAGTTTTTCTTTAAAGTTACTAAATGACTTAACTAATACAATTCTTTTTTATATCCCATACCAGTGCTATCCCTTTTACCAGTGCTATTCAAAACAGTAACTACTGGTCACATGTGGCTATTTACATTTAAATTAATTAAAGTTAAGTACAATTTAGTTCCTCAGTCTCACTGGCCACATTTCAAATACATGTGGCTTAGTAGCTACTTTATTGGCTCACACAAATATAGAACATTTTCATCATCACAGAAAGTTCTGTTGGACATTGCTATCTTGTGCCATATGATATGAAATTATTATTGGATATTTTACATGTTCACTCTTACTAAAAAAAGTATTTCTTCTTCCACCTCTTGGTAATCGTGATAAGCTAAAGGAAAAATTCAACTGATGAAGACGTTGAGTGTGATTTCTTTGTTTACCCCAGAGTACCCACAAGACTAGATAAACTTTTTTCCTGCATTATCCCTCTAGCTTGGGGAACCATAAGAGAGAGGAGGACCAGGGGGTCAAATTATTAGCAACTGATTTTATGTCATTCTGTAATAGGGCAAAGAAAAGTCAAATGGTTTAGCCAAAGTTAGGGGGCTAAATCAATAAGGCTAAACCAAACAATAAACAGGAAAAAAGTTGTCTTATGAATTCAGTTCCCTTTATACTACTCTAAAAAGGAAAGGCGTTCTGATGCCACCTTTTTTCCTTATCATAATTCAGTTTACTGCATTGTTACTATAAACTGTTGAGTTTTAAAGGACTAAAGCATATGATTAGGATTAAGCTGTTAATTCATAACTTTGGTCTACCTCAAGGTATGCTTAATTAAGAGTACAACAACACAATTTGAATTCATTTGAACTCAGTTTATTAAGAATTTTTGTCAATATGCATCATATGACACTTTTTGGAGAAGGCAAAAAGGCAGATAAATGATAGGTAGTTTAGTTCCAAAACCGAAGTGTTTGACAATTACTTTTGAAGTGGGACCCCGTCTACTTATGATTCTGACAGAGCTAATAAAGTCAGTCATTGCTTTCAGAAAACTTACAATCTGAAGCTAATATGCCTAGAGGAATTAGAAGGAATCTTTTTGATTATGTAATCTAGACTTTTGGCAGACTTTTCCCATAAAAGTCCATTTAGTAAATGTTTTCAGCTTTTAAAGCCATAAGTCTTTGTTGCAGTTGTTCAACTCTGGTTGTAGCACAAAAAGGAGTCACAGACAACACATAACTGAATGGCTATGCCTTTGTTCCAGTAAAACTTTATTTACAAAAATAAGGAGCAGGACAGATTTGAGCCATAGGATGTAGTTTGCACATCCTTGGTTTAATTCAGTCATTTAATATCAGAAACTTTTCATAACTAAGAAGTAGACTTTGAGTCTATGCTTGTGTAGCTCCACTGATGCCCAGGCAGCCCAGGTTTCTCTTTACATTAAATGCAAATCTCTTTCCTTTTAATCAACACCTTTAGTTTGTTTTGTTTTTTGTTTGTTTGTTTTTGTAGCCACACAAAACAGTCTACTCCTTTTTGTGACAGCTCTTCAGAGAGTAAAAGCTGTTTTTCATTTGTCTTCTCTATTTTAGGCTGTTAATAATGCTTCCAGTTTTTAAATAGTGTATGTTTTTTTCTTATTATCCTGGTCATTTTCCACTGCAGATGCTTCAGTTGGTGTGAATCTGGTTACCACATGACATTGTTACTTCATTGGCCAACTCTTTTTCATGTCCATTGCCATTGAAACTTGTCTCCCCATCCTTACACTGGTATAGTTGTTTTCGTTTCTGTGTTTCTTTGCTTTGTTTTATTTAGGAATGGAAGTGTGGCTCTTTATCCCCGTTAGATGTCAGCATGTTCAATTTCAGTTTCTCAAGTTTCTTATTCTGTCTTTAATGCAGTTGCTGTTTCCTTCTCACTTCATTTAAGCCACAAATTCCATAAGCATGCCTTGCATATATTTCCGCAATAACAGTATTGACTAGAATAGTTGTAAAAATAATGAAACAGGAACATGGAATTCAAAGTGGTCAAGTCCCATAGTGGCTACCTAGCTGAGCCACTAGATGGCAGTAGTTAACTTAAGTGTCTTTTACAGTATTGATTTGACAGGCTCTCCTATATGTTCGTCAATGGATTCTAATATTTTCTTTCTTCTTGGCTGATTTTAATTGAACAAAAAGAAGTTTGCTACTACTTCTTACTTGTATTTCCTCTCAGAGTAGTCAGGTCTCAGATTCTGGTCTGATTATTTTTATGTGATAAACTTAGAAAAGTCATCTGTAATTCCTTTTGAAGATAATTGTTCTTTTAAAGTTTTAAACTAAATATACATAATTTAAGTAGAGTTTTGTATGACGAATAAAATAGGGATTTTCATTTAGTTCAAAACATATTATTTCTATTGTCTCGTGCAAAGTTTTTCTCTAAGCTTTTCAATTTCCTAGCCAGTCGTTATTCTTTTAATAAAAACGTGCTTGATTTTATAGTAATTTTTCTAAGCAAAATATATAATGATTATTTGTTTAGTGTCTTAACTATCCAAAATAGAATAAAAAATTCCTGAACAGGCAAAATAGATGACAAGAAGTCTGTACACCATAACCTTAGAGTAATTCCTCAGGCTATGACTTGGATCTTAAATTCCCATTTAGACATAGTTCCAATAACCTTAGTTTTTAGGTTTTTAATACCACAAATGATTAAAGGTAACATGTGAAAGGGATATGGAGTAAAATTACATTAAGAAAAACTATAGGAAACATGTTAACCATATTAAGTGAGATGACTATTACACATAATTAAATGAAAAAAGCAAATTTTAAAATAGACCTAGGTTCAAATTTGATGTGAACTTGAGCAATTTAATCCATCTACTTCACTTTCCTCGTCTGACATAAGGACAGTGAGCCTAAATTCATAATCCTGAGGTAATGATGAAATTTTTAAATGTTTGTCTAGTGTTTAGCATGTGTTCAGCACTCAGTAACCATTACCTCGAAATTATTAACTTCAGTTTTTGTGCTTGATTTTCAGAGTTAATTCTAATGTTACTGTTTATGATTGTTAATGCAAATTGGACTTATCTAGTTCTTCAAGGCTGTTCCTTGTCTCTGAATTGAGAGAAAAGAGTTAACTAAAGAAGTACTAGGAAAAAGAGATTCTGGTTAAGCATTTCTTTCTAGAATACAGTACAGTAAGTACCACTTTTACCACTTAGCCAGTTGTCATAGTAACTAAAAATATTTATTTTTTTAATACCATAAGAAATCCAGTGATACTCTTAAAGAGACTTAAAAGAAAGAGACTCCATGTATACATATATTTTCTAATATGGACAGTTTTTAGAACAAGAATATCTTTGATTGCTGAACAGTAGCTAACTGTTCTAAAAGCTATTTAGATGAATTCTACCCAGTGTTGAGATCAATATCAAAGATTCTGTTCTTACGTTAGAACTTCAGGTATACAAAACTCTCTTAAAAGCTTTTAGAGACTTATGGTAAAAAAAAAAAAAGATTTTAAATGAAAGCTTTTGGTTCTGATTTGTTTTTAGTTTAATTAAATGATATTTACTCAGTCTCTGAAAGGTAGAAGGATGTCCTTTTTAATCTGTTGCTAGTAATGTTACTGCTCCTTACTTGCTATATACTATCTTGAACTTTTAATGTGGTTCTTCTTTAAGAAAACCATTCTTTCCCTTCTCAAAATACCTCTGCCAGGAAAAGAAGGAAAGAAATTATTCTTGCTATTATATAGTAAGTAAAGTATATAACAGGTAAGTTCCAAAGAAAATATAGATGGGTAATAAAAATTCCCCAGATTTTACCTTTTTATTTAAAAAAAAAAAAAAAAAGAAATGAGATCACATGTAGTTATATTTTCCCCTTGACAAATTAGCAAATTTAAAATGAGAATAATTAGACCTGGCAAAATTTGATGAAATAGTCAGTCATACCCAGGAGCCTTTTAAATAATAATTTGGTCCATATACATTAAAAACATTCATTTTTAATTGATTATTCTACTTCACGACTCTTTCCAAAGAAAGAAAACCAAAATGCAGTTAAGAGTTTTATATTCAAAATGTTCTTTTAGGCATTTTTAATAATAACATGAAATTAGAAATGGTCAACACATAGGCAAACAGTGAAAATGTGGCTGGTATATATGGTGAAATATATTGTCCTTACAATGAAGACAAAGAAAGACAGACATGCAATACTCCTATGACAAGTTCTCGGGAAACCTAAATCTTATCAAGCCTCTAACTCTAACAACCAGTTTACAGGAAATACATAGAACAAAGGAACATGTTAAATGTCATGAGATAGATTCAATCAGTAAAAAAGAAAAAAATTTAAAAGACATAAGGGGAACTCATGGATAAAAGAAATGCCAACCAGTTCAAATGAGTTTTATTTGGCTCTTGATTTGAACAAACTGAAACTATTTATGAGATAATTGGGAAATATGAAAACTAAATATATATTTAATGGTGTTAAGGAATTATTAATGTTTTCAGTATGGTAAGGGTATTGTGATTGACATACATATTAATTTATAATATTTGATGCTTAGATTTGTTTTGGTGTGATCCTAAGTTGGGTGAGGTGGTAGTGAGGGGCTTTAGAGATAGCAAGATCGGCGTTGGCCATGTGTTGATAAGTGTTGAAGCCAGGTTGTGGGTACATAGAGCTTCATTTTCTTATCCTCTCTACTTTGTGTGTATTTGGAAATACCCACAATAAAATGTTTAAAAAAACCGAACTTGAATACAAGAAATTTTTATGTTATTGTAAATGAAAAAGAGCATGATATATATGAGTATATTTCAGCTGTGGTTTCTTAAATACAGAGGAAAAAAAAACACAAGAAAATTAACAAAATGTTAGCAGTGGCTGCTTTTAGGTTGTGAGATTATGCATGAGTTTTCATAATAAAGTTTTATTGTATATGTAAATTTAAATGCTTGCCAATTTTTTTATAGTGAGCACTTTTAAATTGTATTTATTTTAGTGAATGGTTCCAAATTCAAATGGTATAAGAAGATATACATACAGTGAAACTAGCTCTACCCTTCATTTCTCAGTCAACCAGTTACTTCCAGAAATTACCAGTTTTATCTATTTCTTGTATATCCATCTGGAAGATGTGTATATTATTTATTTAAGCGTGCAAATTGTAATGCACCATACGCTATTTTGTTGTTTCCATTTACCAATTTATCTTGGAGATTGAGCCATTTGTATACCTCAGAGCACTTCCTCATTCTTTCACAGCTTCTTAGCTAGTCCCTTTGGATGGATAAACAATACTGAAATGATTAACCTTGCATGAATGTCAGTTTACACATAAGCAGATTTATTTATAGAAAGAATCACTAGTTGTGGAAATGCTACGTCAAATTTTATGTATATTTGTGATTTTGATAATAGTTTTCAAATTCCTTTACATATAGTGTATGTAGGCACAGTATAATAAGAACTGATAGGTTTTATTTGCATTGCTCTTGGTGTAAGTGTGATTTGAGGATCTTTTCACTTAAGTTAAGAGCTATTTTCATTTCCTCTTTTGTGAACTCTCTGGTCATAGCTTTTGCCTCTTTTCCAACTGAGTTATCAAATAATTTTCGTAATAATTTATAGGAGCACATTATGCATTTTGGAAGTTAGCCTTTTGTCTGTAATATACATTACCAAGATTTTCCCCCAGTTTGTCTTTTAATTTTTAATGTTGTATTTTGGTTCTTTAACACAACAATTTTTTAAAAAAATTTTATTGTTAAATTGATCTATTCTTTTGAGTTGTGTGCTTTTGCCTTCCTTGAGATTTAAAATTTTTATTTCTGTTTTACACTTAAATATTTGATGTATCTAGACTGTCTCCTCATCAGTATGAGGCTCAGGTCTGCTTCGATTTGGTTTCCAAATGGCTACCAAGATGCCCCACAGCATCTTTTTCCCACTGACTTGAAATGTCATCTTTATCATATTCTAAGTACTCGTGCGTTCAGTGTGTGTGTGTTACTGGCCTCTCCGTTCTGGTCCATGAATTTATCTGTTTACATTCCAGCACCTTATTAAATAATAGTTTTAATTATTGTGTCTTCATAATATATTTTTAAATCCTCTGGAAATTGTCCTTCCTCACACTTAGAATTTTCCTGGCACTTCTTAGTTCTTTATTTTTCAATATTAACTGTCAAATCAGCTTCTCTAGTTCAATGAAAAAATTATTTTGGTATTTCTATTGTTATGGCCTTAAATTTAAAGGTTAACTTAGGGAACTTTGACTTTTTAATGCTGTCATCATATCCTCTCAATCCATGATCATGGTATGCCCTTCTGTGTGTTGGATTCTTTTGTTTCCCTTAGTAGCGTTTACATGTTTTTTTAATTTAGATGTTGCTCCATTTCTTATAAAGTTTATTTCTAGATTTTTCTTTATTGATATTATAAGAAATCAATATACTAGAGCTCATCTCCTTTCCTATTTACCAGTAGAAAATACTGCCTTTTCTTGCATTTTATCTTTTGATTATTGTTTGTATAGATAAAGGCTAAAATATTGTGTGCATGTATATATTTATTTGTGTCCACTCATCGTTTTAAATTCACTTATTTATATCACTTATTTTAGTAGTTTTTCAGTTGATATTCTTAGATTTTTTAGAATGTAATGATTATAAAGTCACACCATCTACAGATAACTCTTCTTTCTAATTCTAATTTTTTTATATTAATATAGTACATTTAATTAGAAAAATTATTTAGATAGATGGATTTTGAAATAATACATGCCCCTTTTATTTATCCTTGAATAGTATCCTCTTAGTAAATACAGTTAGGCTTCTTGAAGCAGTATATATTATGAACTCCTCAGTAAACTTTTAAGGATATTTAATGTTACTTTTCAAAAAATCAGTTTCTAAAATATAAGATATTTACATTGAAATAAATATTTTTATTAATGAAATTTAAATATTGAGACATTTTTAATTGCTTTTTCCTTTTTCATCAGGATCAAATGGCTATTGCATGTGGGTCACGAGCTCATTTGAAAAAGGACTCTATTGCTCAGGTGAGACTTTCATTAACTGGATAGATCAGTAGTTTTTTCCTTTTTTACATATACATTAGCGTGAAATAAGCTTTCATGTTTAATCTCATAAAAATGAGATTCCTCTCAAAAGAAAAGAAAATAACTTTCTTTTTGGAAAGTTTTTGAAGGACTAGCACATTTAAGAATTGATTTTTTTTTAACGAGTATACAATAAGAATGTAGACTTTGACTTTGGATGCAAGCAGCTCTTTTTGATATATTTTTTTAAGACACACAGAGTCTCCTTTCAGTTATGATATATGGCAAACTTTTCTAAATGATTCATTTTGAACCTATCAGTTTTTCCATATTGGCACACTTCAGTATTATATTTTGGGTTTCATTCAAAGTTAAAAGTTTTTTTTTTTAACTTTGTTCATCTTAGAAAAACACTACACCTTAAAATTTGACAAGTTGTAATTGCCCTTTTTAGAATATTAAAAAAGAAAATCACTGAAGACAATAAATTGTTCATTTTGTAATTTATAGATTAGGCTAGAAAAGCTGGAGTAACTTGAAGGAATAAATATTAAAGAATTATTCTATACTATGTTTTTTTTAATTAAAAAAAATTTACCATTGACATAACAATATTATATTAGTTTTAGGTGTACAATGTAGTGATTCGGCAATGGTTTTTTTTAATTTTAATTATTTTTTTACTTAGAGATGGAAGCCTAGTGTATCAAGCCCAGTAATTATCCATTATTTTCTTACTATTCCTCTACTAGAGTAGTCAAATAGATCAAGAATAAAGCTGTATTTTTCAGTACAAGGTCATAATTATCTCAGGAGGTGTTTTTTTGTTTGTTTTGTTTTTTTAATGCATATTGCTAGGCCAGTTCCAGACACACTGAATCATACTCTGGCCATGGGACCAGGAGCCTGCATTTTTAACAATTTCCTTATGCATACCAGAGTTTGAGAACCAGTGGAATAAAAGATTGAACTTTTCCCTCAATGATTCTGAAGTAAAATATTAAGAAATTTTAATTTTTTTCAAGATAAACTGATGGCAAAGTCATAAAACCTTAAGGATTATGCTTAAATGTGGAAACCTACACTCTCCTTTTTTAAGAAATAAATTATTTAACATCTTCAGCATCTAGTCCAGTATTCTATATCTCTATGGACTTTCATTGGTATTTGAAAAAAATTAATCTATTAACCATAGAGAATATCATATTTTTAGAAATTTAAAACAAAGAATTTAGAGATTAGCTAGTCCAACTTCATCATTTTACTGATACATGAGAGATAAAAGAAATATATGTCCAAGATATTCAGCACATTAGTTATAATTATAAAATACTAAAAAGTATGAAATACTAAATTCCAACACTAGAAAATATATTTTCTCTGCATGAAATACCATGCAGACAATAAAATAGATGAAAATGGAAACTATATAACATGGGAAAATACCTAAAATAGTAGGTCATATAAAAAAAGTATGGTATTATAAATACAGTATAATTATATAAAAATATCTATGCAAATAGTAGCACTTAATGAAAATAGACTGATATTAATTTAATGGTTTTGTCAGTAAATTTTTTTCCTTTTTAAAACTAATAATGGGGGAGGAAGGATAATCTGCTTGGTGAAGGATAAAGCAAGGTTGGAGAAATAGGAAGCAGTGATTAAGAAGGTATTGAAGTAATCAATGCAAGAGATAGTTGGGACCTGTGTTTATTGTGAGTGGCAATAGAAAGGAACTGTTTTTTTGGTTCTATTTTTAATGCTGTAAATTCTTTTCACTTAGAACTATTGAAAACTCTGACTCTTTCCTAGAATAGTATTTAAATGAGACTGTGCTATGGTCTAAATCTTTTACCCAGTTCTGGTTTTTGTCAGACATCAAGGGCTCTATCCCAGGGTCTGCGTGTTTATAATTAACATTTTCATGTCTATCCATTCCTCCTTCTCTAAAACTAAGTGATTGATTTAGTGCGTTTGGATCCCACAGGATTGGCTGCTACTCTTTTATTCTTATATAAAGAAAGAATAAACTGATCCACTGACTAGAGATCAGCAGTTGTCTGCTGCAGATGCTATGTACAGCTGCTGCTCAGTAGGCTTGTAGTTCAAGTCTAGATGCTTTCATTGAACCCTATGTGACTTGTAGAAGGTTCTCTCCAAGAGACAACACACACATCTGCCACATGGCCTAGAAACCGCAGCATGACCTTCCATTTCCAAGCCACTTGGGTTCTGTCTTAACGTGTCATCGGTAATATAAACCTTTGTATGGTGGGCAGTGAAAAAGTTATAAAAGAATTAATAATCAAGATAATAAACAGCTACTTCAGTAGCTTAAATGCATAGTTCTTAGACTTATCTTTCCTACATAGCTGTATACACATTCTCACTTAACCCTGTTCTATTGCTCTCTTGGAAGATGAACGTGATACAGCACTGATGGGTCTTTTAGCATCCTTTAATGTGTTCATATTCCCATTTGTTCTGTATAACAGATGTAACGATAGTGTTTGTTATCTGGATTTTCTTGAATTTATCACTCTTAAAAGAGTCAAAATAGAATTCATTACTATCTATTTGACATCTTTAGATTTTCTTTGACAAGTCTTTGCTTAAGTCTTGAGACTTCTTTGAACTTTTTATTTTAAGATAATGAAATTACCAGTCAGCTTTAAATTTCACCTGAATGTCTTATTTGTTTCATAAACAGAGAGGTTATTGTTAATATTGAAGTAGTAAATTTTTTCTTCAGGTTTTTAAACATCTACTTGAGAAGTTCATGTTATTCTGTGATTTTGTTAGCTTTATTTAACTGTATATCCTATAATATATTTTAGATGTCTTCTAAATTTTAAGACATTTTTCCAAGTTTTTAAAATTAAAAATTCTCCTTTTTCTAGTTTATCATCTTATGCATTTAAATATGTTACAAATCAAATAAGTTAAGGTATCCATGTGAACTCCACATTTCTAGTTTTTTAAAAATAGCCGTTATCCTACAACAAACAAAATTCTATCAACAGCCAAGCAAAAGCAGTCATGAATCTTTTTATTTTATAACTATAAAGCTCATTTATCATATTAAAAATCGTTCAAGGAGAATATAGGTATTATTTTTTCTACCTTTTAATTTTTATTTTTCTATCTTTCAATTTCTATTTGTTCCTTTCCTAAGCATAAATGCTCTTTTGGAGGTTTAATCAGTCAACCAGTATTTATTGGAAGTATTTTACATGGAAGGCACTGAGCCAGCTGTTGTGAGATTCCCAAAGTATATTAAGATGAGGTTTCTGCCCTATCTACTTAGAGAGGTAAGATATATTTACATCAAAACATAACTAGCGATTCTAGGTGATAAATGGGAAGTGTTAGATCCTTTCAAAAAGTTTGTTTTGCATACTGTATCGATAAGTATTTTATTTTTCTGCCCCTTTTTGCCCTATTTAATACACAAGTGAAATTGTGGTCAGAAGGTTAAAGTGAGTTTTCAAGCTTTCTTCCTTTATTAAAAACATTTATTGAGTTCCTGTTACTTCCTATGCCAAACACTTGGTTAATCTCAGTTAATCCTTAAAATAACTATGTGAGGTAGGCATTTTCGTTCCCATTCGATAGATGCGGAGAGTGGAAATAACTTGCTCACGGTCACCCTGCTAATTATTATGGAACCAGGATTTGAGTATAGGTCCGCTTAGTGTAGTAGTTTTGTTTCTACTCATATCGTGTTAACAGTGTTGAGTCATGGTTCTGTTCCATGATGACAGAAAAAGCTGTGTGAATGAAGAATGATACTAAAGATGGCAATAATGAAAAACAAAAGCCAAAAGGAGGAAGGGGCCTTTATTTACTAGAATGAGATATTAAATATTCTGCATAGACTCTACTGGCCATGTGTAATGTATCTTTCCATGGGTCTATTCACCTTAATTATAGAAAATTTAAAGAGATCCTGTCTTTTTAAATTCTAAATAGGAAAGTCTTGAATAAAATGATAATTAATGATCTATTATTATAATGTTTTAAAGTTTGGAGTGTTAATAATGGAATGTTATGTTCTGCTATTACTAAAAATAAAATTAATCACTAATACCAATAGTGAATACTCAGGATTAAAGACTACTTAAGTTTAATATTCAAAGTGTTAAAGAACTTAATCATTAAAATCTGTTATATAAGATATGTGTCGTACCTAATTAGAGAGACTGGGTTTTTATTTCAAATTCCTTGTTAGTTTCTAACTTTTGTGACATTATGCTATACCTCTTTTATCAGTATTTTCATTAGCTAAGTATTGAACTTGAAGTTCAAATCTTACTGTTTTGTTTTTCAAGATATTCTGGTAACTCACCTTTTTGAAACTGAAATATATTTGAGGCAAAGAGGCACAAAATGTGTAGGTGAATGAGATGTTCTCCTTGCTCATAGCAGCCCAAAACTGCTATGCTGTGCTTCTTCTGGGAGACCGAAGCTCTGACCTCACACTGGCACCGTGGTTCTTGTCTGATGCAATTCCCAGAGAATGAGTTACTACTTCTTTACTGCCTCTGCATTGCTCTGAGCAGACAGCATCTTCACGATTTCTATTAATATACTGTGCCAGTGCAGCTAATGGAACCAGTGGTGTTTTATATAAGATCTACCCAGCCAATTAAATATTGATTGCGGTTGTCTACAGCCAGGTATTTTCAATGTCTCCTTTACAGATAAATGGAAAAGTCATTTATATTGTCTTTGTTTCAGCGTTCTTACTTCCGTACTCTTCTCATGTATGGATTCCACTTTCTGGTGTGGTTTCTTTGTGTCAAAGGAATCAGGGACACACAGTGTGGGTTCAAATTATTAACTCGAGAAGCAGCTTCACGGACGTTTTCATCTCTACACATTGAACGATGGTAGGTTCCTAACTGGAATGTATCGGGTATATCTTATTATACAGCAATTTTCCCAAGTAATGAGAAGCAGCCCTGTATCCTCGTAATGAACATCCGGGTTTAAACAAAATTGACACTTATATATGTAAACTGAATCTGTGCCTTTATACTTTTACTGGGTTGAGTCTTACTTTGAAAATCTCAAACCAAACATCAGGTATAAAATTATGAATTCACCTTAATTATGGACAGTGTAAATTGAAAGGTCTGAAAACATCCTGTTTCCTTAAGCTTCCTTTTTTTCTTTGAGGAAAAAAGAAAAAGCTCAGAAATATCAAAGCAAAAGAGGGCGCCCACTTTCTCTCCTGTGCTTCCTTTTGCAGGAGTAAGTTCTCCTTCCTGCCCAAGACCAATCCTTTGACTTCTACATCCCTTCCACCTTCTTTTTAAATTAATTAATTAATTAATTGATTGATTTTTTTAGGCGAGGCAACCCTTGGTTGACCTCTCAGATTGCAAGGACCTTGTCAGCTTACAATCCCTTATTTTTTTATTTTTTACACCTGCAGCACCTAGTCTTCCTAGGTGGTCTCCCATCCAAGTATTAATGAGGCCTGACCCTGCTTAGCTTCCGAGATCAGTCAGGATCGGGCTTGTTCAGGGTGACATGGCCATATGCTCCTTCCACCCTCTACCTAATCATGTTTGCTTATTTTCTTCTTATACAGTTTTTTCTCTCAACTTCAACATCTTTCCCATCAGTTTTTAAAACAAGTTTAAATTTCTCTTGCCATTAAAAAGAAAACTCTCCATTGCTCCCCCACCAACACCCCTCTAGCTCTAGCTGATCTTTTCCTGAGAGACTGGTGGGTGTTCACTGTCTCCATTTTCTCATTCACACTTACTCCTCACCCCACCTTATGTGGGTTTTCCTTCATCACTCCATCTAAACATCTGGTTACCCTCAAGTTATTAAATTCAGTAGTCATATTTATTATGACCATGCATTGTCTTAATTAATCTTTCAGCAGCATTCGATACTTCTCAGCTCTCTGTCCTGAAATATGCTGTTCCCTCGGCATATCTGTATCCCCAACCTCTCCTGAGCTCTCGACCTGTGAATACCACTGTCGCTCAGAAGCTTGAAGCCTTGTGCTCAGCCCCGGCATCCCCCACAGCTCTTCCACATAACCAGTGCATGAGCAAGGCCTATGGATTTTAGCTTTTATGTCCCTCCATTTCTCTTCAGCTTACCACCGACATCCAGGACATCATCATTTCCTGTGCTGCAGCTCAAGGGATCTTTTCAAAAATTAAAAGTGATAAATCAAATGCACCTCTTCTGCTTAACAATCCTTCAGTGGCTTCCCATGGCCTTGAGAGGTACACTAATGTGCAATATCAGTGTTGATTGCCTAGTGTGGCCCACCTGAGTCTCCACATGCGGATTCTTTCCTTCTCACCACCCCCTTCTCAGCTTCTCCTATCCTTCAGGTCATCCTTAGGACAGCCAGCCCTCACTCTCCAAACTAGATTAGATACCCCTACTTGTAGACTGTTGCAGTACTGTAGGCCTTTCTTTGTAGCCCTATCACATACGTAGGTTTTTCTTATTTGTGTAATGTTTCTCTTTATTAAAATATAAGCTCCACAAAAGCTAGACGATTTTGCTTACTGGAATATTCCACTATCTAATAGAGTACCTGGCACATCATAGGTACTCAATAAATATTGTTGAAAAAATTAATACTTAGTGTTAGTCATGGGTTCTCTGTGAATTCTGTTCATGGTGGGAATGTTCTTTTTTATAGTCTCTCAACTTTCACGAATCAATTTGCAAAGATCTGTTATTTCCCTAGAAATAGATATCATATACCCCCCAATAACTTTAGAGAAACTGTAGTTTCAGAATTAAAATTATCATTTAAATGTGTTTTTTAGTCTTTTTTATGTAGGTTAAAACATCTAAACTAATGTATATTGGTCTTCAAATTAAGATATGTGTTTCTATTACGTTGAAGACTAAAATATAGTGATAGTTAATGAACTCCAAAATCAGAGAATCTAACTTAAGAAGCCACTTTGGAAGTAAAGCCTCTCTGCATTAAATATTTCTCAATTAGCTATTACGTCCAGTACTAGGGTCAAAAACTAGTTTCTTTCTAGTTTGAAAGGAAGGATTTACAAGTGAAAAACATTAGAGTCAGGATTGATAACTTAAAAATCTTCAAGGATTCTTGTCAGGATTGTTCTAGGGCAGGATCAACCTGTAGAAATATAAGACATGAATGCAAGCTATATATGTAATTTTAAATTTCCTAGTAAGCCATATTAAAAAAGTAAAACAGATGAAATTCATTTCTGTATTTTATTTAACATAATATAAAAATATTGTCATTTCACAATGCATTCAGTATGAAGAAAAGTTGAGATATTTTACATTCTTTATACTATATCTTCAAATTACAGTACATCTCAGTTCAGACTAGCAACATTTCAAGTGCCCAGTAGCCACGTGTAACTAGTGGCTACTGCATTGGACAACACAGTTCTAGGGTATTATGGTTTTCTTTTTTTAACTTACAGAACATTTTTTCTTTTTTTCTTCCTTAAATGTTATGTCCAGGTACATGCCCTTTTTTTAAATAATTTTTTTTTTCGATTACAGCTTATATATGATGTTATATTGGTTTCAGGTGTATAACATAGTGATTAGATATTTATGTAACTTTTGAAGTGATCACCCTGATAAATCTAGTACCCATCTGATACCATGCATATTTATTACAGTATTATTGTCTATATTCGTATGCTATACTTTACATCCCTGTAACTGTTTTATAACTACCAATTTGTGATTAATTCTTTCCACCTTGTCACTCACTTCCAACCCCACTCCCATCTGGCAACCATCAAAATCTTCTCTGTATCTATGAGTTTGTTTCTGTTTTATTTGTTCCTTTATTTGTTTCCTTAGGTTAACACATGTAAATGAAATAATAGGCTATTTGTCTTCCTCTATCTGACTTATTTCACTTAGCATAATACCCTTTAGGTCCATCCACGTTGTCGCAGATGACAAGATTTCATTCTTTTTTATAGCTGAGTAATATTCCCTTGTACATATGTACTACTTTGTTTTTATTCATTCACCTGTTGATGGACACTTAGGTTGCTTCCATATCTTGGCTACTGTAAATTCTACAGTGAACATATGGATTCACATGTCCCTTCAAAGTCGTGTTTTGGGTTTCTTTGGATAAATACGCAGAAGTGGGATAACTGGGTCCTTCTTTGTCTCTTGTTACAGCCTTTGTTTTAAAGTCTATTTTGTCCAGTGTAAATATTGCCACCCCATACTTTTGTTTGTTTCCATTTTCATGAACTATCTTTTCTATCCCCTCACCCTCAGTCTATGTGTCTTGTGATCAGAAGTGAGTCTCTCGTAGGCAGCATATGTAAGGGTTTTGTTTTCTTATCCATTCAGTCACCCTATCTTTTGATGAGAGCTTTTAATCTATTTTCATTTAAAGTAATTGTTGCTAGATATGTAGTTATTGCTGTTTTATTATTCATATTTCTGATCTTTTTTTTCCTCCTCTTTTTAAAGAAGTCCCTTTAACATTTCTTATAATACTGCTTTGGTGTTAATGAACTCTTTTAGCTCTTTCTTTTCTGGGAAGCTCTTTATCTGTCCTTTGATTCTGAATGATAGCTTTGCTGGGTAATCTTGGTTGTAAGTTCTTGCTTTTTATCACTTGGAATATTTCATGCCAGTCTTGTCTGGCTTGCAAAGTTTCTGTGGAGAAATAAGCTAACATTCTTATGGGAGCTCCCTTGTAGGTAACTGCTTTTCTCTTGCTACTTATAAAGAGTCTCTTTTTGTCTTTAACTTTTGACATTTTAATTTTGATGTGTCTTGGTGTGGGCCTAATTGAGTTCATTTTTTTTTTTTTTTTCCATGTTTGAGACTCTGTGCTTCCTTGGTTTGTATGTTTATTTCCTTTAGCCAGGTTAGGAAAGTTTTCAGTCATTATTTCATCAAATACATTCTCAATTTCTTGCTTTCTCTCTTCTTTTGGTACCCATATGATGCGAATTTTGGTATGCTTGATGTCCCAGAGGCCCCTTAAATTATCCTTATTTTTTTGGTTTTCATTTATTTATTTATTCATTCATTCATTCATTCATTTATTTATGCTGTTTTGATTGTGTGTTTTCTGTTACCTTCTCTTCTAAATCACAGATTCGATACTGAATCTGTGAAGAAATGAAGAATGTATTCTTCATTTCTTACTGGTTCTTTTTTATGTTTTCTATCTCCATTTTTATATTTCCTTTCTCTTTGTTGAAGTTCTCACGGAGATCATTGAGCATCCTCATAACCAGCTTTTAGGACTCTGCATCTGGTAGATTGCTTGTCTCCATTTTGTTTCATCCTTTTTCTGACACTTTGTTCTGTTCTTTCATTTGGGACATGTTTTCTCCCCATTTTGGCTGCCTACTTGTGTTTGTTTTTTCGTATTAGGAAGGGCTGCTATATCTCCCAGACTTAGTAGAGTAGCCTTATGTATTAGGTATCCTATGGGGCCCAGTGGCACAGTCTCCCTGGTCACATGAGCTGGGTGCTCCAGGTGTGCCCCTTGTGTGTACCCTCCTTTGTAGTTGAGTCTTGGTTGCTGTTGTCACATCAGTAGGAAGGATTGACTCTCAGGTTGATTGATTGTGAGGACTGGCTGTGACTACATTGGAGGAGCTGTTGTGCAAGGGCTGACCCTGTGGAGCAAGATGGACTTTAGTGGGACTCTGGTGCCTGCTGAGTCTCCCCTTTGGATGTTTCATTTGCAAAAGTGCTTGAGGGATGCTCTGATACCATCTGAAGCTGACCATTGGATGTGTTGGTCTAAGGCCTCTGAGTAGGGCCTCTGGTGCAAACTGAGGTTAGCCGCTGCCTATGGCCTGCCCGAGGCCACTTGGTATGAGCTACAAAGTGACCTGAAGATGATTGCCACTTTTGCTGG